TTCTTAAGGTGATTAAAGTCTCTCTAAAGGGAAAATTGGGGAGGGGTTATATAGTGGTAGAATCAAGCAAGTAAATATGAAAAACAATTAATCAATCACAAAATAAGGAAAGAATATCACGTGCAATCAGTAATAGAATCGGTAAAGGGAAAATCAAAATTTTAAACCCTAGTTGAGTCAAATGGCCATGAATCAGGTCGGAAATGCGAGAATCGTTCATTGTAGAGTATATATAGATGAAGCATTGGCTAAATCTTTACAAAATAGAGCCAAATCAGGCTCGTCTTGCAGGTAGCATTCACCAAAGTTAGGTAAATATCAAGTAACGCCATGAACACATGAGTAGTATCAGAATAATGCAAGAGAATCATGAAAAGATTCCATATCGGGGCCGAATTCAGAGAGGATTTGAGGGTATGGCGGATAGGGTTTCTTAGATACGAGTGGAATGGTGAGGCTTCAGAGGCGGCTGTTTAGGTGGGAATGTCCCTAGGGTTTAGGTTAAGGGGATATAAGGAAAATGGAAAGGTTATTGTGGGTCGTTGATCATCTGAGATCAACAGTCATGATTAAAGGGAAGTGAGGTGGGTCAGGAGATGGGTATATGATAGTGGACTGCTGGTGCGGGGTTAAAGGGTATTTAGCCAAGGTTTTAGATCCGAAAATTAGCCATATATTGGGCTAATAATTAAATACACGAAAATTATTTAAAAAATAATTTATAAAAATAATTAATAGATAGTAAATTATTACTTGTGCAATAAAAGGATTAAAAATAATAAATTAACAATATAAAATTCCTATTTTAGCATGAATAATGTAATAAATATAATTATGCATAGAATATAGGCTATTATTGTAAAATTATGTAAATGGCTCAAAAATGCAAAGATAATTATATGAAATAAAGTAAAATATTATAAAATATATATGTAGATATAAATAATGAATTTGGATGATTAAATCATCACAAAATAATTTAAGGGGTAACTAATACATATTCAAGTAATTTAAATGTAAGAAAAAATAATTTTAAAGCTTTAAAAATTATGAAACATTATAGAAAATATTTGTATAACTCTTGTAAGCTAAGTAATGATGCGAAATGATATTTGAAAGTATATATACTATTTGAAAAAATATGAGGGCAAAATTGAGTATCAACAACACATGTTCGTGTAAATGCCTCGTGCAGCAGCCTTACCGCATCAGCAGGATTAACCAAAATGTCCTCCACGGGGTCGACAATTGAGCCCTAGGCTAGACCTGAATTCAATAGGAGAAGGGTTAAACAACTTCTTCATATTAAAGGTAAAAACAAGATGAGTTCGACTTACCATTGTTTTTGGCCTTCCACCCATATTTAAGGGCCATCTCTGTCCACGTGCGGGTCTCGGGCATAATAACGTCCAATATTTTCTGGACCCACTGGTCCAAGCCTTCAACCTTAGGTGATACCCACTGAGTCACTGAAATAAGTGAAAGAATAAGGGTCAATAACAATATGGGACGATCTTTAACAGAAAGAAAGACAAATGGAGAACTTACGAGTGCGGTTCCATAATTCCGGAAAGGATGAAGCTGTGGCCGTAATGATGTCACTGGTGGTAACTGCAACGAACAGTTCTATCTACCCACGGTTGTTGTCATCATCCATGCTGGAAAGCAGAGCATGGTGGCCACACTTGCTAAAATTTATCATTCCCCCACGGAAGATTTTGGGGGAATAAAGGTTCATCAATCGATCTATGGTTAGCTTCTCTCCCGTCTCCTGACACAGAAGCCGAAGACAAGCGACTGTCCTCCACACAGAAGGACTTACTTGTACCAAACATACCTGGTAGCGGATGCAGAACTCCACAGTGACAGATTCAAGCTCTCCATTCAAAGAGAACGGCCCCAAAGTGAAGGGATACGTATAAAAATACGTAAAATCCTTTTTGGGTAAGGTTGTCCGCTCTGCCAGGTTAGGAGCGATAATATTTAAATCCTGACGATGGCAGTTTTTCTTTATAGCAGGAATACTTGAAGGACGGATGGAAGAAGGGTATACGCTAATGTCCCACACGTACAAGGGTGAACGGAAGGATATTTCTCTTCAAAGTCTTTAGACATGACAAGACTCTTTGGGTTGATGGAGCTCACCGAAGGAGGAACAACAACATAAGCTTTACCTTTGTTCTTTGAAGAACTAAAGTTTCTGGAAGAAGAGACCATTTTTTATTAGAAAGGAAGGAAGTTTTTTTCTCAAGAAAAAGGTTTAAAAAAGGGTTGAAGAATAAAGTATGAGTTGAGTAAAGAGAGTTTGAGAAACTTTAGTGAACTATGAAGTGTAGATGAGGAAGTTTTATGTGTGTAAGTAAAGGAATATGCGGCTAAAATCGTGATCATAATTATCTCGATAACCGGCAAAAATAATGCTGAATCGTGGGATGACGAATATTTGGGGCATTAAAAGCAGAGAAATGTGCGTCTAATCAACCGTCAGAAATGTTTTAGAGGGTGTCAGAGAATTTCCCTCCAAGAAAGGTATCTCTACCAACTTTTTAGTGATACAAAATTATACCACCGGAAAGTAGTGGGACTATCTGTATGGGGTAAAATATGTTCATATTTTATGATCGCATGAGGAAGCGACACGTGGAACCGAAGACAGAAGATAGCCAAACACGAAGGCAATGATTTCGCTTGTCATCGGAGAGAATGATACTCATAAAGACAAAATAAATGCCGCCATCCGGTAGCATTCAATGCAGAATATTCTACAGCATTAAGGGCAGATCTATTACAGAGAATATGATATTCAATGCCCATCGTTACACACTTTTCAATGGCCCTCATAATTGTTATTAAAGAGCAGCTTAATTCTAGGACCTTGTTCTCTAGGTGTAAATATAAATAGTGAGCTCTATCATCAGTGTAAGGGGATGAATTTTCTGAAAAACATGCATATACTATACTTCATCAAAAGCTCAAATAGTATTTTACTTTCTTGCTTACTTGCACGGTTCTTATTGCTCCCAGTAGCTCTACGCCCGAAACCAAGATACCTGCCGTTTATTTCAATTTTAAGACTAAGTCTTATATTTCTGTCTAATTTATCTATTATTTTTGGATCAAATTAATTCACTTGTCTATAAACCACGTATAAATTCAACTGTACCATTTTACGGATAAACAATTATATTTGAATTTTATAGCAAATCCATGAAATAAGTAATTAATTATTTTGAACTGAAATAAGAGAGCAACAAGGTCTCATATATTAGTTGGTTAGAGAGCCTGCTTAGTTAGCGAAGGTCTTGAGTTTGAATATCAACAAGAACATTTATTTTTCTGTATTTCGCCGTAGTTGTATTCATTGCACGAATATAGTTGACACAGACTATATTTGTTGCGTGTTCGAATACAAGTGATACAAATTAGTAACAATTGAATATTAACTACGAATGATAATTAGGCAAATTATAATTATTAGGCTCTAAACTATAGTGGTTTATGAAAATTCATTTTATTCAAATCACATTCATATTATTGTTACGTAAAAGAAAAAGATCTTTGGACCATCATAATACCAAAGTACACTAGTGCAACTTGTGCAATGCCTATCCGTATAGTTTGGATAAAAATTATTTTCATCAAAATTTTGAAACAGGCTTCCAATAATGTAATGACTTACTGATTAAGTTTTATTTTTTTTTAAAAAACGAAATCACACAGCAGATCACTAGAGTTAGCACAGAAACAAAAAAGGCAAGTTTATTAACACAGTCTTTTAATAATCATCATCACTTTTACTGAAGTTGATGTAATATCCTTTTTTAAGTGTTTCTTCTCTTGCATGGCTACAATACTTGTATTGGCCAACAGATAAAAGAGAGAAAAGCATATAAAACTATGCTCCCACATGGGAAAAACAACCCCAATAAGTATTGGGTAATCACCTTATGATCAAGTATTTACAAGTTATCCAAATATAATATGTGAGGAAAAAAAAAAGGCGGATATGTTTGACAGTTTGAAGAAAGGTTTTTCAGTTGGAATAACTGCTAAGCGTTTGCCAGTTTGGATCCTGTTCTCTAGGTAATTGGGTGGAAATATGGTCATGGATTTGCTCTATATATAGGGATGAAATTTCTTAAAAAGCATTGTCTTTGCACAATCTTAACACATTACCTAAATCACCTAATGAAATTCTAATGTGATGTCTCCTAATCTCTTCGTCTCATCTTCCTAATAGTAAGATTTATTATGGTTTTTTTAAATTTAATTTATTAATACCAGAAATCAAACACTGTTATTTATACAAAGTTTTATACTAAAAATCAAATGCGTATTAGTGTATTGAGTTTAAAATATTAAAGCAAAGTTTTAAGTTCAAACCAAAAGTTGTATTAATTTTAAAAAAAAGTTATACCAAAATTATTTTTTCTTACTCAAACTAAAAATTCAAGTGTACCAAAAGAAATTTCATATTCCTAATACTCTCTGATCCAATTTTATCTAACTGTATTACTGTAAGTAGTCAAATACTAATCTTTGATCATAATTTGGAAACATTTCTTCAATTTTTAATAGAAAAGTATATATATATATATATATATATATATATATATATATATATATATATATATAACTTGATCCCATTTTATATGACAAAATATTATTGGATAAATAGAGTCATATTATAAATTTAACTTATTTATTCTATTACATGAAAGCTAGAATTTGAATTAGTTTAATAAATTTAAACTCTTGAAAATTGTTTAGGTCGTATAGAAAAATAATAGTAATATTAAACATTTCATAACTTAATATTGCCATTCTTATCTTTTGCCATCTTTTCAGATTTATTTAAATAACAGAAGAGGACAAATGTGTGTTAGATGCAATGAAGACAAAAGAAACTAAAACGAAACTAGAGAGTACGGGAAAGAACACTTGTTAGAGCTGTGGTTAGATTTGGTCCCGTGACCCTGACCCTGACTCTGTTTACATTACAACAACGCAAACCAAAACCCGAATCCAGATTCGTTCTCTCTCTCTCTCTCTCTCTCTCTCTCTCTCTCTCCCTCCCTTTTCCGCTTCTCTTTCTCTGCTCAGTGCAAAAAAGAGAAAAAAACTGATCTTTCTTGGCAGAGAAAGACGAGATTTGTGATTTCATTTAGATACAGATACATATAGATATAGCGGGTAAAGGGGAATGGCAAAGAAGAAAGCAACCATGACTCTCAAAGACTTTCATGGTGGTTCTATTCCTTCAGATCTTCCCTTACCTTCTGCTCCTGGCGTGTGAGTTTCCCCTTTTCCCTCTGTTTTTTTCTTCGTTCTATCAGCATATATGACTTCTTTATTGAGATTTTAGGTAATGAGTTTCGATTTTGTGTGAATTGAGAAGTGGGAGTTTTTTACCCTTAAATTAAAGAGAAACTTGTGATCTTTGTCATGATAGAATGGAGAAAAATTGCTGCTTTCTGCAAGAAATTGATCTATTTTAGTGTTTGACTGAATTGAGCCTTTAGTTGGTAGGTTTCATTAATCGAGGTCAGAATTTTGCTTGCCAGTAACTGTGATCTGGTGTTTCAGCGTATATGATTTTTCCCCTGTTCAATTTGGCTTTGTAGATCTGGGTACATGAGATCCCCTTTGATTTGGGAATCTTAAAGTCTTAGAAAGTTAAATTGTGGCATAAAATCTTCAAATACTTATGCTGGATTATTCTATATGTTTGCACGAGTTGCTATAAAGAATGACTTGCAGACCATTATGTTTACAAATTTTATTAGTGACTTGCTCCCTTTTGGAAAGTTTTTGGCACCTTGTAAACAGAATAAATTCATTAAAGGTGTATGCTATTGTGTAACCTTCAATCGATATGTCAATCGGCCATGTCTCAATTTCAAACTAGTTTGGCTGCTATATGGATCCGCTACTCCATTCCACTCTATTTGGCCTCAATTAATTCCTATACTGCCGTGTAACCGTATGAAAAAAAAGAAGAAAAAGCTGAATGCAGTTACTGTGATTTGTATATTTGTTTGTATTGTTCACTCTTTTGGACAGAAAATCCCTGATGCTGATATTTTAATTTTTTTTTTCTGGTCGGTAGAATGGTTAGGCCATCAGATCGTGGTGGTTTTGATCGCCAGACATCATGGGGAAACCCCATGGGAAGGCCAGAGCACCGTTTACGTCCGGGATCAGCTGGTGCAACCAGAAACTTTGATGAGAAGACTCCTTTCTTGAGCCATAATGCACCAATAGGCCGTAATTTTGATGAGGATGAAAGAAAGCCATTGGATGGAGCATCTGGACCTCGTCGAACAGTTAGTGATGAGAGTATCCGTGCGTTGCCAAGTCGTGTGGAACCTAAGGCAGAATACTCTATCACTGGGATGGTAGGTAGCGGGCAAGTATCAGCTCCTCCATCTCAAAGTTTTAGAGGTGCAGCAAGTGGTACAAATGTGGCTAGGTTTAATGAAGCGACTAGTATGGGAGTGAGTACTAAAAGTTCTGGTAGTGGCATTGGCAGTGGCAGGAGGGCGAGTTCTCCGAATGTGTCTGCAAATAGTGGTCAAGTGGTTACTGGGTCATATCCAAATGCGTGGGGCCTAAGAAAGGAGGTGCCAAGTGCAAAAGAATCAGTTTCTGCTCCATGGTCTGCTCCGGATGCTGAGTCAAAGTTGGCCCATGCCAGTGCCCTCGAGAAAGTCTCATCTGGCAGGTGGCATTCAAAGCAGCAGATTCATTCTCAGGTTGATGTTGAGGTCATTAAACATCCAGACACAGAGAAAGAATTCTATCATCACGGAAGTACTATGGTCTACAATAATGTCTCCAACATGCCAGATGTCGTGGGAGGACCCGAATATAGTGATCAGGTGCTAGCGGTGCATGCCGAAAGAAGTCTTGCTCTTGCAGATGGGGTTCATGGGTTTAGCAAGGAGTTACCAGCACGGGAGAGGGCCAGGTCCCCTTTATTTATGGAGGCAAATGAGAGAAGAGCTTCTCCTAATGTTACTGGATTTCAACGGCCCCATAATGTTATTAGCTCTGGTGGATATGAGTTGCAGGCGCCAGCATCTTCTGAACCATCCGAGCGGCCCAAATTGAAGTTGCTACCAAGGTCCAAACCATTGGAGAGTCTGGAGCAGTCCATAGATTATAAGCAGGTTTGTGGCATTGCTCTCTGTCGAGGTTTTATTTATATATAAGAATCTCATTTCGTTATCTCAAATGTAGGTCAACCAGCAGCCTAGTAATCCTGTTCGTATTGAAAAATCGGGCGATGCAAATCCCATCAAAACTGGGTTTGTTGAACCTGAGAGTGGTAATCTTGCAATTGAACGCCCAAAGTTGAATCCGAAGCCTCGGTCGCAGCTTCTTGAACAATCAGAGGGAAGCACTGAAAATAAAAGGTCTACCTAATATTTCTGCACTCCCCCTGCATCTGTTTATTGCTTCAACTGCTTGGCCTGTCTATGTTAACTTGGAGTATCATGAAAAGATAAAAATGTGCTTATTCAGGACCTTTTAGTGGAGATGGTTAGTAGTATGAGAATATAGTTGGATTTCTGGAATGTGATGTTGTGAAAATATGTCAACCATTTCTCCCAGCTGTAATACCAACTTACCAAGTTAGATGGATTCAGATCTTAACAAAAGAAATGCCAAGTTACCAAATGGTTCTGTATTGTGAGGATTCATTGGAAATTGACTAGTTTTACGCCTATTGCTACTCTCCTTTATTCTTCTTGGTACTGGCAATGCAAGTAATTTCTCACAGGCAGAGTAAAAAGATCCATGTTGGCGCCAATTAGTTGTGGTTAAGGTTTAGTTCTCTAGGAGTCTTTTAGTCTTGTTAGAGATTTGTGTTAGTAGAAAATATAGAGATCTCTAGTGTTTGATAACCCAAATCTTAAAATATTGGATTGATATGATTCTAAATGGAGTGAATGGCTAGTGAGTATTCCTACAGCCAACCCAACTAGTTTGGAACTGAGGCATAGTAGTAGTAGTAGTAGTAGTAGTAGTAGTAATAGTGATAGTAGTAGTTGTTGCATTGTCAAGTGATTCTGTGTTTCAGTTTTTCGCTCCTGCTGCATCTCTTCTCGATAAGAGCATTATGAGGTTTGTCTTACAAGGGTATTATTGAACTACACTGACTATTCTAATGCCTTAAGTGTTGTTGATTATGGTGATTAGAGGAAGAATAGTAAGAGTTGGTGGACAAGGTTTTGGGAAATTTTATGAGCTGAGTTGCAAGAAAATAATGTCTTTTGGCTGTTAAATTGCTTATTATGATCCAATGAATAGCTCTAGTGTTTTTTAACTTTCATAACCTAGTATTGCCTTTCTTATTTAGATAACAAACTGGCTGTTATTTTTATTCTCTCTTTCTTTTCCTGTTGGAGAGGAGAAGGGGGCAGTTAGTTGATTCATGAATCTAGACAATATATCAGGTCCAGTAACAGATAAAGATGATATTCGGGGCATCACTAGGAAACTTCCTTAGCAAATTTAAAGTTTTACTTGTGTTTTCTCTCTATGAAATCTCACAACTGATATTTGGTCTTCTGCTCCATCTCCTTTGTGATCTCCATCTTTTTAGAGCTGCTTTTACTGAGATGAAAACTTAAGTCAGGTTTATGAGGACGGTGGATTTCTCATGTTTGATCAAGTAAAAAGGATAGGATAGTTCCTTTATTTTTTGGCTCGAGTACTTCCTTAGTGAAGCATAATTGCAAACATTATTCTTCCTGAATAAATCTATATTTTTGCATCATTTTGTGATCAAGTTGCCATTAAAAAAATTGAATCACTTGGTTGATGCATCAGTGTCTCGGAAATTTCCAAGACACTGATGCATATATCTATCCAAGACACTGAAGTGGATAGATATTCATGCATCAGTGTCTGATTTCCAAGACACTGATGCATATATCGAAGTGGATAGATATTCAAAGAGGATGATGGCCTTTCTATGATTTACCATGACTTGAAGTTGGGTTCTTTAAACTTCTAAAATTTGAAGGGAAATTGGCAGCTTGTCCCCAAGTTGAGGTTTATAACTGTTATCATCTGCTTTTTGCTGTGAATCAGTGGTTAGTCTTTTTCGATGGTTATCCTAGCATAATGAAGTACCCACTGAGTCACCTTGCTCTTCTTTATCATCCACTCTTCTTCCTTCCTCTTGGCAGTTTCTACTCGCCTTCCTATAAGATGTGATCAAGGACATCTATTCTAGGTAAAGCTGACACTGTTTTGTGCTTATGACTTGTGTGCGCAGGAAACCATTATTTGGTGCTGCTCGTCCACGTGAAATGGTAAGTTATTAGTCTTGTGAATGCAGAAGAAAAGTAATATTTGCCAAAGATAATGTTTCTTCTTTTGCTGATGAAAAGAAACATAATATGTTCGTTTTACACCTCAATGTCTTTTAGACTTGCTTGATGAAAAAATTAACTAAGATTGTACTGTCCTCTTCCAATTTTTGGTTCCCTAATGTTTGAGGTTTTCTCATTTCCATTATGGGCGGTCACCACCAGGTTCTGAAGGATCGTGGGATTGATGATGTTACGCCTAATCATGATCTTCATCAACCTCATCCAAGGTAGTAAATCAGTTGATTCTGCAATCGCTTTCTGACTCAGAAGTTTCTTCGCTTGACAAACTAAATGGTAATTCTCTGAAGGAACAAACTACATGGTGGCAAAGCAGAGACAGTTATGCATGCAACCAGGCATAGTGAGAAAGTAGCGAGTATCCCCATTGACCATAGGATGGCAAAGAATGCAGATAGGCGAGATCACAGGACAGATGTCGAAAAGGGAGATGGACAGATGAGGAATTGGAGAAACGAGAACTGGAGGAACACCAAGGAGATTGAAAGGCACCACCACCATCAGCCGCAGCAACATGCACAGGAGAGGCCGCCCTCACCAGAAACCTGGCGCAAGCCTGTTGAACCACCAAAACCTGCTTCTGTCGATGCTGCTGGTGTACGATATGGAAAAGCAGCCTCTGCAGTCGAGCTTGCTACAGCCTTCTCAAGATCGGTCTCTGATCCAGCAACAACGGATCGTTTTTCTAGCCAGAAAGGCCTTCCTAATCGGGGTCAAATCCCTTTTTCTCGGTTGACAGGCCCTCCTCAGAGGCCTCAGATTAACGGGTACTAAGCATTGGGAGATTATCTATACATTAGCAAATGAAATGTCATATTATTGCAATTGCTTAGTTGGATGCAACAGAGATTTGTTTGCAGCGGGAATGCCAAGATGGAGATTATAATTGTTCTCCGTGCTACAGGCTAGTAACAAAATATATGCTCTTGCTGCTGAAAATCTAGAACCTGATTCTTCTCCCTTTAAACCTAACACCTTCAACCTTGGGAAATCCGTTCCTTTTTCTTTGTTTTTCTTTTCTATCTTTTTAGTTTGATAATAATCATCGGGGATGATGTTTGTTCCCTTTATAGATGATTTGTTGCTCAGAATGAATTTCTGATTAAAGCCTTGATGGCATTAACTAATGATGTATACTTTGGAGGTGTTTTACATTTCATGGCTAATGCCATCTTTCATTTGATTGATGGTGTAGATGTGTAGCGTAGAAACAGAATCGCTCTATGGATTGAGCTTCTGCCGATATGTCTTGGCAGTATCACAACACATTCTCAAATAGCCCCTTTAGATGAATTTGGTTTAAACAGAATCGCTCTATGGATTGAGCTTCTGCCGATATGTCTTGGCAGTATCACAACACATTCTCAAATAGCCCCTTTAGATGAATTTGGTTTAAACAGAATCGCTCTATGGATTGAGCTTCTGCCGATATGTCTTGGCAGTATCACAACACATTCTCAAATAGCCCCTTTAGATGAATTTGGTTTAAACAGAATCGCTCTATGGATTGAGCTTCTGCCGATATGTCTTGGCAGTATCACAACACATTCTCAAATAGCCCCTTTAGATGAATTTGGTTTAAAGACGCGGATATGAAATTAGTTATAATTTTGCCTCAGAGGTTTTTGGGGTGACATATGCACACTAATTATGCAGTATGAAGTTATTTTTAGGTGTTAAAGTAGTATAGCATGTGATGTGAAGTTTAAGTGCATTTTACAAGTCCGAAATGTATTGCAGACAATAGTATGGTATTGGAGAAGGGCGGGTTCACAATTTCACATTACCCCTGGTAAATTGCAGAAGCCTAGGAACAAATCCCTATCGCTAGACATGCATCAGGGAGCATTTTATTGACATAATCTTATAATTTTCTTGGCTTTCGAGTAAATCTACTCAGCAATGGCGGATATTGCATTAGGTGAGAACTTTGATTATGTAATTGCTCCTCTGGGTTTTTATCGGATAATTATAGTAATAGTAATAATTGCACTCTTGGTTTCTCTATTATAAACTAAAAGACAAAAATATATTTCAATCATTGGTTGAATTATCATGACACTGATGTGGTTCCACAGTAGCACACGAACTTCTCACTAAGACATGAAGAGAATAACTAGCAAAAGGAGATTAAAACACGAAGGTCATTGCTGATAGTGCCACAATACTTGTCTGAAGCGGAGCTTGTACCCTACAACAAGGCAAAATTACATGTCAAGTATTAATCAATGGTTGCGGTACAGAATAAAACAAGTACCAAAAAACACGGAGTATAGGCAAATTTAGGATTCTAGAGTTAATAATATCTGAATGACTCTAACATTTTTAACTCTTTCATTGAAGATACAGGTAGTTTGAGCTAAAAATAATGAATTCAGTTGAACTCATAAAATCTGTCCAAGATCCGCCTCTGGTATCAAGTATTTGATAATTTCAGGATAACGTAAAATAATTGTTTACCTGAGATCATGGTAATAACCACAAGCTTGAGAATTAGTTTTTGGTCTAACGTTTTTCATCTTCTTGGTGGTGGCTTTGATCCCTTCTTGTGCTTTGTTGGTAGAGGAAGTATTATTTTCAGAAATGGTGTATAGAGATGGCTGCCACAGTCCCTTTGACGATGAATTTCTACGAGCTAATTTGCGGCCCTTGGTTGTGTTTTCCTCTATGCATGTCACTTGAACAAGAGTACACGCCTCCATTTTGTGACTACTTTCACTAACAGAACCACTATAACAGGACAGAAAATCAGCTAAGAACTTCATAGTTCTTTAACTTTAACTCTAGTCCTATGTTGGGCTTTCTTTCGTCTAGTGCTGTTGAATTTTTAGAACAATTTAAGAGACACTATTTAGGTCAATTTGATCACTTTGGGCTGCAAGTGAGGTGTGATGATAGTGAAAGGCCACCTTTTTAATAATATGGATGACAAATAATTGGTGATAAAATAAAGATATGGTGGATTGCGTTTAATGATAAGATTATCAAAATCGAAATGCATGTCAAATGCGTGAAAGCTAAAACTTTCTCCTCTCCAAAGTATCAACTTTTCTGGATTAGCACAAATATTGGGTAACTCTGTCCACCAAAGCTCATGAGTCATGTAAAAAGAACTCATCTACTCCGATATTTTTCATCTTTACTAGAATTTGAACCCCAATTTGTCCAATTTCTTAAAAACAAATGCCAAAAGATAAAGTTGAAAATTTTGGTCATAAATAGTGTACTCCAATTTAGCTCACATCTACTCCCTTTTTTTTTTCTTTCTTCTAATAGATATTCTAATTGAGCTCAAAGGTTAATTAAGGAAGACCAGTGGAGTCGTTTGTTTTATCTGAATTCAAGATTCAAAAACAGTAAGCGAATTTTGGTTTAGCCAAGTTTCTTTTTTTACTAGAACTCTTATTAAATTATAAACCGATTAGCTTCATGGACATGCCGGCTTAATTTATCATTTACTACTTGAAAATGCGATATGTTATTGCAACTAGATTCATCTTTTGCAAAATCTATCATTGATCAAAAGTTTCTACCTTTTGTTGTATTTTTCTGCTTTTAAAAAAGTGTGCATGCATTCCACACATAAAAATTTGCCTTTATCCTCGTGTTCTCTATCGCTTCTTCTTCATTATCATTTTCCTTTTGGTGCCTGTTAGTATTGTCACATGAGATACTCTTGCATTATTATTTACTCTGGAACTATTTTATTTTTATTTTTTTATTCTTTTTGGCTTGGGGGCGGGGCCCGTACAGAGAAAGATACTACTGCAGATTTATTCATTTTTATAGAAGAATATACACCTACCGAATATGAATGAATGAACCTTGTGTAACTTCAAAAATTTATAAAAATATAAGTTAGTTATGTTTGCACATATAACACCTTAAATCATAGATTGTGAGTCTATTATAGATAGTTAGGCAATCTTCATAAAAAATTGGATAGCATATGATCAGGGGCGGATTCACCCCTTTACAGTGGGGTGGCATGGCACGCGCTAAGATGATAAATTTTTTATATACCTATAGTGAAATTTTCTTAAATTAGATTAAATATCTTATCCTACCACCCGTAGTCGTAAATTAGACAAATGTGTCATGACTGGTAGATCTTTTTGAAAGTTTTTCTCGTGTGTAAAATTCAAGTTGGAAATTATCTTGACCCTTGTCCGACTTTCACTTTTCGTGTGCTTTTTATTTTCTTTTTGCCCCGGTCATTTTCCTTTTCGGCTACCTCCCAATTTTTTTATTTATCGTTTCATTATTTTTTGCATTTTTTTCTTTATTTTATTATTTATATGCGGTCTCTAACAAGAACACTAAAAAAAAGAGACTCCAAAATTATAAAATTCTATAAAATAAGCATTCCTCTTAATTTCAAATTTATGAGTTTTCTTCTTTCATATCCGAAAAATTTGGTCTTAGTGGGAATTTACGATTGAGATCAAATTTTTTTCATCTTATTTTATTATATCATAAAAATTTGTGTTATTCTATGGTTATTAAATATAATTTAAATCTCTTTAGTATTAAATTATGACAAAAATTTCGTAAGCATTGCTTAAAAAATATGAGATTTATGATTTTGATTTTTGAGAACTTGTAGTTTATTTAATTCTATACTTGTGGGGTATAATTTATCTATTGAAGATATTTTAAAAATTTCTTATTATGATTGATGTAATTCCCTTGTTGAAGATGTTATCTTACTTGTGTAAATTTATTTTTAATATACAAAAAGAGATGTAATTTCCTAGTAAAAATATTGATTTTACTTGTGTTGTTATAATAAAGGTATGTTCCTTATTTAAAATGCTAATTATGTCTATTTTTTAATATTTGAGATGTAATTTTTGTATTTGCAAATAAAAAATATTTATTAAGTTGACCCGAATAAACTCAAAAAAACCAAATAAACATTCATAACAAATTTAATATTAGTCATTACAAGGAATACATTAAAAGAAACTATGGCACACGTTACATTCAAAACCTAGATCCGCCTCTGCGTATGCTATGGTAGCTTTTGGCAAAACATTGAGGAAAGCTCACTTGGGTCTTTAGGTGCAAGCTGCGACAGTTTCACCTCATATCAACCCAAAGTATACGTAGAGGTAAAAGAGCAAAGAGGAATTACTAAATTAAACTTAACAACAACAACAACAACAACGTAGACTCTCGGCTTCCTCCCTCCAAGAAGTCCCACTTTGCTTTTGGGGTGACTCAAACTCACAACCTCTTGGTTGAAAGTGGAGGGTGCTTAGCACTAGAGCAACCAACTCTTGACATAAAATTTAACTAAATTAAACTTAAAAAGAACCAAAAATTTCACAAGCTACCTGTATCAACTAACAATAAATTGACCAGAGAAAAGGCGGTTACCACGAATCACTTCTTTTTGTAATTTGCAGTACTTTCCCTGCAAGTTAATGAAGTTCTGTAGTCAAACAAGTTCTGTTATGGACTTATGGTGGGATCTAGTTTGCATTAAAGGAAATTATCTCAAAGTCAGCTTATCCCACTATCCAAAATTAGCGGCAAAAAGTGGAAAACATCATCAACTGCTACGTACCAAGAACTGTAAATTTGGATATTCAATTTTTAACTTTTATATTGTAATTAGAATTTTCATAAAAAGTGCTATAGATCAATAGCTTAATTTTAATGTTAAATTTTTTGAAAAAGTCATAGTCAAAGAAAAAACTTTAACTTCTCAAATAGTAATAATACCATTCTTTATAGAATTAGATAGTTCTAAAAAGCAAATGAACTCCCATTTTTGCCCTTAATTTTCAGGATTATCTTAATACTGTAGCTTTATTGTAGCCCTAAATTATTTTGGATGCTTCTAATTTCCTAGAATTTTCTATGCACTCATTGACATAGCATAGTTTACAAATGTCGAGAAACCTCCTTAATAAACTACATGGTTTTAAAACTCGAGTTTGTCAGTTTGAAATCAGTGTTTGGAACTCTTTTCATCCTCCATCTCTCAGCATTTTGCTTGTTCCCTTTGAGTATCATTCTAGAGCTAAGACAGCCTAGTTAATGGTTTCTCTTAACATTCATTTTCCTGTCTTATAGCTGTTGGAGCCATCCTTTGACTATGGAAAATTGTTGCCTTCTTGAGGTAGATGTCAATGGCCAAGAATTATTTTTGGTGGACAAGGTAACCTAGAGAAACATACATTTTACTACAATATCCTGTTTCCCATTGACAATTTTTTGTCATTGTCATTGAATTTTATTACATCCAAGTTTTGTGTTTAGTATACTTTTGCCATTTCCTTTGAGGAAAAGATTCTTAGGGACTAAAATGTAGCCTTTAAATATCTGGACTGACCATCTTATATTAATGCTTTTTAATCTTCTGCAGACTATTCTTGTATCTCTCTCAGGGAGATTAAGAGAATTATTCAGTAAGTTGACAGGGAAAACAAGAAGGCTGAAATTAATTTTCGACAAATTTCCAGGAGGTGCTGATTGTTTTGAACTCATTGCTAAGTTTTGCTATAATGGTGGTAGGATAAAGATTACTCCTTTTAACATGTTTCAACTGCATTGTGCTGCCAATTACCTGGAAATGAATCAAGAAATGCAGGGGAAACCAAATTTGATTGAGCAAACGAGTTCTTATTTTCAGAAGATTCATTACATGACATGGTCTGAGTTAATAACTGGCTTGGAAAAGTGCCAACAACTCCTTTCTTTCTTGCCATCTTCATCTATACTTCAAGATTTCTTGGATTGTGTTGTTGGAAGGCTTGAATTTCATAACATTTCTAGCCCATGTGCATCTTCTTCCGACAATTCGTCAATGCAGTTTTCAGGGGATATTAGTACAGAAAGCAAGGGAATTTACAGTTCTCAAACAACCTGGTGGTTTGCAGATCTTGGATTTTTGAACCTTAATATGTTCAGGAGAATTATAGAGACAATGATGTCTAATAAATTGGATCATTCTGTGATTTCTTCATTCCTGTTTTATTACAAAAGAGTGAAATGTCCCACTGCTTCATCAGCTCAGAAATGCAGAATCATTGAGACAATAATCAAGTTCCTTTCTTCTCTTGATGGGAGTTTTATCTCTATTAGAGGTCTATTTGACATTCTACAGGCATCTTTTACCTTGAAAATGAGCAAATGTGCAAAGGGGAAGTTAGAATATTTGATTGGCTCGCAGTTAGATAGAGTTAAACTTGATGATTTGCTTATTCCTTCTCCAGCAGGGGAAAAAAGTGCTTATAATGTAAATTTAGTTCTGAGGTTGCTTGACATATTCCTCTCCAATAGCCGCGAAAAATTATTGATGTATCAACTGAAAAACGTTGCTGAGTTAACAGATCTATATATCATGGAAGTGGCACCTGATCCTTATCTTAAACCTTGCAAGTTTTTGGCATTGGCAGCAGCACTGCCTGATATTGCAAGAGAATCATATGACACAATTTATCTTGCCATGGATATGTACCTCAAGGTAAGACATCTTTCACTAGTGTTTTCACACTCAAAACTGGTTTGATGTTCTCAAAAATCAGTTCTCTGTTATTGTCTTTTTGTTGTATAAACCTTTAGCCCTGTCACACTAAGCCTGGAAATATTGTAGAAATGAACTAATGTTTCATTTTAAGATGTAACTTATATACACTTGACTCTATAATTTAACCTGTTATAGCAGGCTATTTACGGAGTAGTATTTATTATAGGTTACAAATCAATATTCTTTTTACATATAATTAGCTACTTGCTATTACATACCTTTTAATTAAGTGATCTGTTTTTTGTATTATTTTGACGCCGTTGATGCATAGAACTTTATTAACTCTTGATTTTGTAACAGGTACATAAATATGGTTTATCTGAAGAAGAAAAGATAAAGATGTGTGGTGTCCTAAGCTATGAGAAGCTCTCTGAAGAAAGTCTAAAGGACCTTGGTCAAAATGAAAGCTTTCCAGCTTGTGCATTGGTCACTCAGCAGAACAGGCTCAGTTATTCGGTCACAAGACACATCTAAATGTTTAGTGAGCATTAGAATCAATGTAGTTTTTGAAACGCAATTAGCAGTGGCAATGTATATACCAAGTCTTGAGAAAGTTTAATGTAACAGGGTAGGAAAATCAAGTTTTGTTATGTTAGCATACAATTAATCTTTTGACTTGCAACAAGGTTCATCACATTTTCATTTCATCTTCCAGGTGAAAAGAACAACATTATCAATCAAAGCTCCCTTAACAATTTAAGACCGAGAGGGTACTGCTTCGGAATACACTAGAAATTAAACTCTTGTGTACTTCTTTTGAAAGGGATTTTAGGCCTTCTTGGTCTTTTTCAATGTTGAATTTAAGAAATGTACTTTTTAGATCTCTTATGTGTAAATGAAAGATCTCTTAAGTGTAAAAGTAAATTTTTGTAAAAAAAGTAGGGTCATAAAAGTAAAAACAAGTTTGTAAAATGTCAAAAAAATCAATTGACCCCCTTTGAAAGTGCGTGGTACTCATATACATTACATGCATATATATATTTGTTTTTTTAAGAAAATAATCTATATAGAGAGCTTGAGCTTAATATAATGAGTGCGCTCATATACTGACTGCTGATAATATGCAAATTTTCTAAACTTGAACGTTTTTACAAGATTAGTGGCATATGCATTAGCATTGGCTTGCTTACAAATTACAATGGTACGTCAGGAGAATCAAACCCCACTTCCTCGGCCTGTTGCCATTTTGTTTACTAAATACTCCATACTATTCAAACGTACATTTCGAGAAGAAAAAAGAAACAGAAGAAAAGTGTCTTTCTCAAGTTTTCTTGAAACTTTTCTTTGACGTACAGTTCGATCCCTACTAACATAGAGGAGTTACAAACAGCTGAAGAAAAAAAAAAGTTATCGACTTATAGGATTTTTGTCTTTTTGTCCTTGTCTTTGTCTAATATTGGAGCCAGAGAAGTTCATTAATTTATTAAATGGATGTTTCTGAAGAATATTTACAGAGAATATCGAGCCAAGACTTTTTCTAATACAGAATCTCCCAGCGACTAATGCGGCTTGTTACAAGCACATTAGTGGGGCTCGCTAACACAATCAATGCCTTCATTGTTATTTGTATTACAGTTTCTAGGTGTATGGAAAGTTCCATTGTAATTGTATACAACTCCATACCTCTTTCGCTCTTTACTCGATCCATTTTTCCTTTCAACACTATGCGAAAGAAAACTCACTATATACTGATATAAAGACAATATCTTTATTTCATAATCTGTTTAGTGTAGGCATTAACAATTGATCTTGCTAAGCTGGTTTTGGAGCATACTTAATTTAACCCTTAATACTAAAATACATTGACATAGTCTTGCTTGTTTAACAGTTTCTGTCTCGAAAATGAAGCTATCTCATTGCAGAGGTTTCTGCATCTTTGTATACGGGTAAAATCGAGCTCGATATTCGATCGAGCTTCCGAACTCCTTGATTAGGCCAAGATCGAAATATTTGTGATCGGATGAAGTCGAGCTCAAAGATTGATCTGACGACTAACACCACTAACCGAGATTGGCACATGATGATTATGATCGAACCCAAAGCACTATTAAAATTAGCCATCGAAACCATCAGGTTTGCCTTCGAGTTTGCCGAAGGCGTAACGGGTCATGTTTCTAACGGTCTCTAAAAATGCTTTGCCAATTCATCCGACAGGGGTCCGTAATTCTCGCCATTAACCGGTCATTATGGCAGAAATCACGGAAAAGGGAACCAACGGTCTTCCAAAATCAAGGACTTATGTTTTTATAGTACAATTAAATAATACCATAAAGGGTAGGTCTCCCTCAATATATAAAGGGGACTTGACAATCCATTAAACTCATTGTAACATACGCTCATAAGAAATACATTTTCCAAACTCCTACTCTTTGATATTTTTTCTGTCAATAAAAGTATATTCAACTCAAGGGTGACTGACATTCTTAAAATTGAAATCATCCAATTCCTGTGGTTTGCAGTTTATTTTATCGCTATTTATTTTAATTATAATCTAATTTATCGCTTTGTATCAAGTTAATTCACATATCCTTATAATCACTAATAAATTCAATTGTTATATGATTTTGAGGGTAAACAGTTTGGCGCCCACTGTGGGGCTAAGGATAATAGTGGTTATTTGATACAAATATTTATAACACATACTACTTTACACTTGCTCTTTGAAGTATCTTTGATTTCAGGCAAAAAATGTCAAACTCTCAATTAGCATCCCTACATATCGACAACGAGTCCGGCCACCAGGGTGAGAATAACAACATAGCGCCCGGTAACATAGGGCCACCCGCTGGTCCGTTGGAATTTCGATCGCAGATCCGATAGATGTTAAATTACATGTGGCGATCGACGCCAACTTTCCTACCAACCCCGAAAATAGCATCTGTGGTAGGTCCCGATCGGCGACTCGAAACACACAAAATAATGAAGAAGATGGGATCAGCTTACGGATGATCTTCGAAATGCTACAAGCTCAACAGGTGGCGATAGCTCAGTTGCAGAGCCAAAGCCAGACGCCGAGCAGGGTTGAACCCGATCCTCCCCGTGAAGTCACCCGCAGAAATGAATCGGTCATAATAAGGTCAAATGAATAAGAATCGATTACTAATCCCGAGATTATAAAGATGTTCGAGGAGCTGACAAAGCGGGTAGAATCAGGGGAAAAGAAAATCGAGGCGAACAACAAAATAGTGGAAACCTACAATTCCAGGGTGAATCAAATCCCAGGAGCACCTCCGATATTGAAAGGACTGGATTCCAGGAAGTTCGTGCAAAAACCTTTACCTCCGAGCGCGACTCCAAAGCCAATCCCCAAAAAAATCCGTATTTCCGAAATACCTAAGTATAACGGAACGACCGATCCAAACAAGCATGTAACTTCTTACACGTGCACCATCAAAGGGAACGACTTGGAAGACAACGAGATCGAGTCTGTTCTCCTAAAAATATTCGGGGAGACCCTGTCAAAAGGAGCTATGACATGGTATCACAACTTACCTCATAATTCTATTGATTCATTTGCTATGCTTGCAGACTCCTTCATGAAAGCACATGTTGGTGCCATCAAGGTCGAGACCAGGAAATCAGACCTTTTCAAAGTTAAATAGAAGGATAACTAGATGCTCAGAGAATTCGTGTCCCGTTTCCAAATGGAACGAATGGACCTGCCGTCAGTCGCTGATGATTGGACTGTTCAAGCTTTCACTCAGGGACTCAATATTCGGAGCTCGGTGGCTTCACACCAACTGAAGCAGAATCTGATAGAATACCATGTCGTTACCCGGGCAGATGTACATAACCAGTATCAATCAAAAATCAGAGTTGAAGATGACCAACTCGGGCCCCCCTCAGAGTCTGTTTATCCCGTCAGAACCCTCGATAGAGTCAAGAGAGACATTGATCGTGAGCCAAGATCAAACATGGATCGATATCTACCATAATGGAGATCGAAAGAGCGATGGGTCAGGGCGGAACCCCATAAGAAATGACAGGAGAAATGATCAAGGTCGAAGCAACTAAGGGCTCATGACCAAAAATAGCTTCAACAGGTCCATTGGGCCCAAAGAAGCGCCGAGGTTATCGGAATACAACTTTAATGTCAATATTGCCGCCATTGTATCTGCTATCGGGCTCATTAGTGATACCAAATGGCCTCGACCTCTGCAATACGATCCAGCTCAAAGGGCCCCTAACCAGATGTGAAAATATCATGGCACTCACGGTCATAGAATGGAAGATTGTCGACAACTGAAAGAAGAAGTGCCCCGTTTATTCAACAATGGGCACCTTCTAGAATTCTTGAGCGACCAAGCCAAGAACCACTTTAGAAACAGGGATTCTAACAAACAGACGGGACAAGAAGATACCGAACCTCAACACATCATAAATATGATCATCGATGGAGTCGATATCCCACAAAGGCCAATGTTGAAACGCACCAAAGTATCCATCATTAGGGAGAAACGAACTCGAGACTACGTACCGGAAGGGATTTTATCTTTTAGCGACGAGGATGTGGAAGGGATCGTACAGCCTCACAATGATGCACTGGTAATATATGTACTCGTAAATAAAACTCGAATTAAACGTGTGTTGATTGATCCAGGTAGCTCGTCCAACATCATTCGGTCGATAGTCGTGGAACAACTCGGTCTACGAGACAAAGTCGTGCCTGCAATTAGAATTCTAAATGGGTTCAACATGGCATGTGAAACCACTATGGGGAGATAACGTTACCGGTCAATATCACCGGAACCATACGAGAGGTAAAGTTTTATGTGATCGAAGGAGACATGAGGTACAACACCCTTCTCGGAAGGCCGTGGATCCACAACATGAGGGCAGTACACTCAACACTTCACTAAGTGTTTAAATTCCCAACTCCAGAAGGGATTAAAACAGTCTACGGAGAATAACCGACCGGAAAAGAGATGTTTGCAATCTAAGAAGTGATTCCAATATCAGTACTCAGAACATCGAAGGAACCAAATTCGGGCGCAAACCAAGAGGCCAAATAGTAGTTACCGACACCGGCCACGACCCAATCGGATAAGCAGGGGACTTATGAAGACGATGATTACGGGGTACCCCGATAGTTTATAATCCCCGATAACTCCGACGCTACCAAATCAACAGTCGAAGAGCTGGAACAGGTTATATTGGTCGAGCATCTACCCGATCGGAAGGTATACCTGGGCACGGGGTTAACTCCTGAGCTCAGGAAAAAACTTATTCAATTCCTTGTAACTAATATATATTGTTTCGCTTGGTCCCATCTTGATATGACAGGGATCCCACGGGAGATAACCACTCACAAACTAAGCCTGGATCCGAAGATCAATCTGGTCAAGCAGAAGATGAGGCCTTAGTCCAAGGTCAAACATGCTTTCATCAAGGACGAGGTATCTGAACTCCTTACAATAGGGTCCATTCAGGAGGTTAAATACCCGGATTGGTTAGCAAACATAGTGGTAGTCTCTAAAAAGGGAATAAACTAAGAATGTGTGTAGATTACAAAGATTTGAATAAAGCATGCCCCAAATACTCTTTTCCTATGCCCAACATCGACCATATAATCGATACCATGGCCGGCCAT